ATTTGATAGATATGTGCGAATAGCGACAGGCACCAATATCGTTGGGTTATAAAGATATATTTCAAGTTTCAACAAAATCTGATCAACATTGGGACGTCTAGATGGTCCACAGCCTTCATATACCATATATTTACACTATTTGCGTACGAATGGCGGACACTTTTTCCGGCCGATTTGGTCCGAATTTTACGACATTTTAACTCAGTCGTCATTAGGGTGTAACGGTGGAAATATTCAAACGTTTTTTCAATCGAATAAAAATAGTGATCTCTAGAGGGACCACAAACTAAAAACAGCATTTTTTCGTACAATCAGGGGCCATAATTCAGGAAGTTACGATCCGATATCAACGGGAACCAAGATCTTCTGATTATAAACATGCATTTCAAGTTTCATCAAAATCAGATGACAATTGTGTCTTCTAGAGTGTCCACAAGCTAAAAACGTGACTTTTCGTACAATCAGGGGCCATAATTCATGAAGTTATTGTCCGATATATGCCAATATTGAAAGGAATCGCGATTTTTCGGAGATAGACCTATATTATAAGTTTCATCAAAATTAGATAAAAATTGTGACCTGCAGAGAGTGTCCACAAAAAAATTGTGGACGGACGGACAGGGGCGACGACAATATATAAAAATACCATCTCAATCAAAGCAGGAATGTGGACGTAGATAGCAGCGGTACCGATGCTCTAGTTTTAAATTATTTAGGTCTGTACGTGTTTTATCTATGTAGATCAGGTACAGTACTATTAATATATGGGTCACACATACCTGTAACTTTCAAATAATTCACTATCTATATCGCGAGTTAATTAAATGTGAGACAGGTATCTGTCCAATTTTATTTCTTTTATATATTAATGATATTGTAAATGATATTAACTCGAATGTATAGTATTTGCGCCTGTGTTGCTGCAAATTGCAACCAGAAACACGACTAAAGGATTAAACTGAATATTACCTAGGCTTGTAGAGGTTATTTTCGTATTTTGCTTGTAGAATTTGATTGTTTAAATGTTCGAAAAACAGCTTGTGTCCCTTTTCATGGGGCGGTCCATAAGGCCCTGGAGCCCCCGATAGACATGTATGTGGTGTTATCGTATCACTCGTATGCTCCTATGTCCCGAAATATATAGTTTGGTTTGGTGACATAATCGAGCTCCAAAGTCTCCACCAATCAAAGTGTTTATCACTCTGCTTACCCGAAGCCGAAAATTTTCTTTATCGCACTTGATGTGATGAACTATACACCAAGTTTCATCCCTCTCATAGGGAGCCACGGTGGTTAAGTGGGTAAGACGCTGGTTCGCTAGCCTGGAGGTCACGTGCTCGATCCCAGCATTGGCCTAGAAAGTTTATCGGGATTTTCCCCTTGTCAGTGGTGCAGGACGGAGGGCCGACATGGACAGCTGTCTAGTTGTTCGGATGGGACGGAGCAGAACAGTAGGACGTTAAACCCCAATCAATTTCATTTCATCCCTATCACTTAATTAGAACCAAAGTTATCGTGTCCCAAAGCATCTACCATATCTAATTGCATATCTCTGCTTACCCTTGGCAGAAAATGTTTATCTTCGAAATCAATCAAGACATGCACCCAACGAATGCCTACACCAAGTTTGAACATTCTACCGCAATTACAAGAGTTGTTGTGTTCCAAAGTCTTGACCAGTCAAATTACTTACCCTGAGCAGAAAATGCTCATCGAACTTGGTCAAAGTATTGATGGAATGAAACTATATACCAAGTTTCACCTCTTTTACTCAATTACAATTAAAGGTATCGTGTCGCAAAGCATCAACCAATCAAATTGCTCTTCTCCTGATAAACACCTACATCAAGTTTGAACACTGTAGCTCAATTAGGAGAGTTATTGTGTCCCAAACAGTGTGACGACCAGGCTCATTGTATCTCCCCTGCTTTCTTCGAAAGACGCCGGAAAAAAGAAAAATGTAAACCCCGATATTATAATCATGCTTGTTTATTAATAGGCGGGCTTTAACGGAGAACGATTGTGGATGGTGGAAGGACTTTATGTACAGCGGCCGCACGTGTTAAAGAGGCTTACCATGGTCATGGTGTTTTGGCTGCGATCTTGAAAGATATCTATGAGTGTTATCAAGATAAGAATTCGGTGAAATATGAAGCGATTGCTACGGACAATGTTAATATGAAAGTCAATGGTGATAAAATAAAGCGACGATTTAAGCCAATCTTACAAAGGGTACAGCTTATTTTTTCATATATCCAAGTGTATAAATCGCCCGAATTTTGTTTAGTTTCTTGAGATTGTATGAGGCCTTTCAAAACACGAATCCAAATTGCAGGGATCGTTATTACATATCGACTGATAGCTCCTTTCATCCCCCAACCCCAACCCACACGGCTATCGTTAGTATTAAACAATTCATTTGTGTTTATGGCAGTGATGTAAATGATATAAAACTGCATGTTGAGAAACATATACAAACCCTGAAGCATTTGATTGAAATTGACACATGTACATCCATTATGATTCACGTATCCTATTCACATGATTGTCACGATACGAGAACATTTTTGTCGATTTTTGAAAATTGTGGTCTTAATATTAACAGTGACTTTCCTGTAAATATGATGTTTCTATTTGAACGGGAAATAAAATAAAATTATAAGCTGGAATAAAGATACAAAAATAATTGAACATATCAAATTATTTTATGACGGTGGTTGTGTCAGACTGATAACTAATGCTTCCTTTAAGTGTTTTCGAAATAATATTCACATTTTCTTATGATAGCTCTAAATATAATTTGACAAAGACCACTATATAGCAATGCCATTTTGGATTTATAATTTTGGATTTCTATTATAAAAAAAGCAATAAAACGTCCGTACTGGTTGTTATGGGTAGCGGTATACTGATTATGTGGGTTGGTGCCACATAGAATTTCCTAGTTGTTTTGGTTGGTGTCACGCTCTTTATTGTATGGGAGAGGCGAGTGAGCTGATCCGCGGGGCACGCTGAGCCACCCCCCTCTCCAGATGCGAGAATGGTGGTGAAAGGTACAAAAAATTTAATTTTTAACCTCAATGTGGATTTTTTGAAAACAGGTCTGTTGTTTTATATTTCACATAACCATAACTTGAGAGACAAATTGACGTAGGATTGTTAACCACTATACGGTTGTAATTTAGCATGTTGGGGATGGTTTTGTTTAGGTTTGATGTGTGAAGATACGGAGGCCAACTTAATTGGAAAGTTCACCACGGGCAAGTTGTTCAATTTTCGATGCCGTGGACGAACTTTCCCACCTTTAATTTATCAGATGCTATAAAGTGATATTGTGTGTTCAGTACAGTGATATTTAAATCTATGGTTTTTTTTTTTTGGGGGGGGGGGGGACTCAGCTTATCCCCTATCCCCGACAGGTTGCCACCAAATCGATGTTAATATGAGTTAAATAAATAAAAAATACCCTACCCCCTTCCGGAACTTTGGAAATGAAGGTATGTCTTCGGCAGTGTAATTTGAATATGTCAATAAATTCTACAGGCACATCCATAAAGATAAATACATATAGCTTACAATCAAGAGAGACCCCGACCCCTCCCGTCCCCTCTCCTCTCCCATATTACCTGTCCTTGAATCGACAGTGAAATACATTCAAATTGGGCTGTACTTATGGCACAGTCAAACATAACCCGTTTAACATAAATGAGTAACTTGTTACAAAGAACATGCGTACAATGCAATTAGCCCCATGTTTGCAAAATCCTTGCAGCAGTCTCCACACCTGTCTATAGTTCGCCATCGTTAGTATATGTTTGTATACCTAGGTTGCTGCATGTTCCTGAAGCAACGACTGTGAATTTTACAACACCTTGACGTTGCTATAGATTACTTTACAATTCCCGAACTTTGCAACTCGATTGTCACAGGTAGACATTTTAGCTGGAAAGCGCGAGACTTGGTATTCGCGATGATCGAGGAATCTGATAGGCTTTCAAGATGGGTGAATACCCATTCGAAATTAGCGCCGAAATATGCACTTGCAAAGATGTACGTTGTAAAAGTGAGATCAAGCCTTAAGGTGATAACAGACAATAGACAATTTTCAGAATAATTTCTGTCTTGCGAAAGTGTAAATTATGGATTACAAATTATAATGAATACATTTGACACCAAACAAAGACTACCCCCTAATTTCGACTGACTCCAAACGTATGCCTTATTCTACAAATCTATAGCAAATGTCAAAGGATTTCAAACAGAATGATATTGGTGTCACCAAACATGACAGAACATTTCTGGGGCACTTTTGGCTAGAGAAAGTTTGTTTTAATTTACCTATTATACATATCGTCCCTTGAGAGGTAAAAGGTCGCAAGTGACAAAAGGTAGTAAGTACACTGGTGGCAGTGTAACAAGATCGTAAGAGACATTTAGATGAGTGCAGTAACTATCCCCAATCATAAAATATTAGAAAAAACAACAATAAATAAACAATTTTACAGGACCATTTTCAAACCATTAAACTCGATTTTCTCGCTTACGACCTTTTCCCTCTCATGGGACGATATCTGATATTTCTGGTTACAGTCCGGCCCCGTGTTCACAAAGCATTCTCAGACTTAAGTTGAGAATTTACTCAAACTTGTTTGCCTTATTTCAACTAAAATATAGCCCTTTATAATAATTTTGTTGTTTTAATGTATCAGATATATCAATAAGAAATATGTGCAAAGTTTTGTGTTTCTGCATCAAAGATATTTCTCATAAACAGTGATTGAAAGTTGAGCAAATTATCAACTTAAGTCTGAGAATGCTTTGTGAACTCGGGGCCTGGTTAAACAATAACGCCAATGACCCGATCTGAATTACTTAACACCAAAATAAAGAAGCCGGGCTGAAATTTCAAGGTAATGGAGTACACGGTATAAAACATTGCAAGCCAAACACAAATTTTGAAATCAATTTTATTGGTTTATAATTCAATCTATCATCACAATGTTTCCATATGGCTATCACACAATTACCTCCGTATACAATTGTATATTAAATATCAGATCTAAGCTAGTGATTTGATGCAAAAATTAGTGAGCACATGAGTATTAATTGTTCAAATATTTTTTTTTTCATTTTCTAGTATCTATAACTTTTAAGACAACACACTTTAGAGTAGTTATTGATAAGATCAATCTGATTAAAACACAGATCCTATTTCGTTTCGTTTTTTTTTAGTTCAAAATTTTGTTTTACTTGTCTTTACTACACTAGGATCTGGAAGAGTTGTTATATAACCTGTGTTCTGGATGATGTGAGGGATTAGCTAATGAAATGGTCTGTTACCACGAGTCTTTGGTGTGAGTTGCACGGAACTGTGGTTAACCACAAGAAACATCAACGCTGATTGATTAATCAAATGACTGATGTCATAGGGTAAAAAACCTGCCGTATGACCTCTGAAGCGACCTCCCACGACAACAGGTCAGATCTTCATGTAGTAGAGGCCTTCGAAAGTATATAAAAAAACGAAACGAAATATAGATCTGTATTTTAATCAGATTGTGATAAGATGTTATTATTACTACACTATCTAGAATTATTTTAACCTTAATGCATGTCAAAGAATTGACATTTATAGTTCTAATTACTTTTAGAAATCAAAATCATTACAAAGCTGTTAGTTTTAATTTAAAACATTATAACCATTTACCAGCACCACCAAAACAGATTCTGTTAATTGTTTATTTTCTCAGTGACACAAATGAAGAGCCCAGAGAAAGAACGATCTAAGTCACCTTTTTCCATGAACCCCAGTTAATGCCCCCATCTGGTAGCAAAGCGTATAAGCTTTCTGTGGAACAATCGATTTCAGGTAAAAACGATCTGAGTCACATCAAACTAGGGCCCTTCTGAAATGGTCTCCCGGTCGAGAACGATCTAAATCTAAAGCGTCCGGGTCGCGTCAAGCAATCTTGTCCTTCAGATTTCAAAGCGTGTTTTGTGTTTTATGCGAAAAGACAAAAATGTGACTTAGATCGTTCTTCCCCAGGGCTCTTCAAATGTTTTGTGACCCTTAAACTGAGCTCGGTGTTGTGTTCATACTAATGTTCCATATTAAATAATTTCCAATGAAAAGGCCAGAAGACGCCAATAATTCAGACAAAACTGATTTATCAACACACCAATGACTTTTTGTTGGGAAATGTACAGTTCGACAAGCTATTATTGCCCGATAGGTTTGGGGCAGCCAACAAGAATCGATAGAGTTTCTTAAAGTCCGGTTATAATTTTACAAGAGTAACGAAAGCTTAGCTATTCGTTGGATATGGTACGATAAGGCGGTTATAAATGGAATTTCAGTAACAATAGTTATAGGATCAAATTGCGTCTCCCCAAAGACCCCGCCCCCGCTCCGCCCCGCACTGTATTACAGTATACAAAGTTAGCTTATTATTCTGTTTCTGTGAAAAACGTAAGTCATGAGGTTTATGTTGGTTGGAGTGATGCAGGGGATATGCTTGAATGTTATATTCGGGTCCAGATATGAGCTACAAATCACCCCGATTTTTCTAAAATATCCTCGGAGGACCAAACAAATATCCTGTGTCCGACACTTTCTCCTACGACAGAAATATTTAGTTCACGAGACATCAAATCCAACCCCACCCCTGTCTCAATTATATCCTTTGGTTGCATTTTAAAATCTGTTAACGAATGTCGAACCGTAGATTTGCCATACACAAATATCACATGGAATATCGCAAATCATTGATTCCCATGTATGTATATATCTAACATGGCACACTAATTTCCAAAGGCTAGAAGGAATATTTGACAAAGAGGAAGAGGTATTAAATTATTGATAGAGCAATCCAATTTTAAAATATATAATGAATGCAATCACATTTCATATAGTTCAAGATGGCTAATAAAATATCGACCACGTCTACAATAATAACAATTATAACAACAAATAACAACAATAACAATAAATAAAACAAATAATAGAGTATGGTTTCTGCCCCATACAGGAATCTTAGATTTTAGCTTTTGCTGCTAATTGTTTTTAAATATATCTTTGTGGGGTGTCAAAAGTTTGAACGTATGTAGATCAAGGGGTTAAACGTATGTAGATCAAAAGGTTCCAAGTATACAGATCAAAAGGTTTAAGGTCTGTAGATCAAAGGTTTTAACGTATGTAGATCAAAAGGTCTTTTAACGTATGTAGATCAAAAGGTTTAACGTATGCAGATCAAAGGGGGTAGTCAAATGGTTAAACCAAAATTGGGTTTCTGGGGGATTAGAGTAATCAAATCAAAAGGGGGGTCAGAAGGGTTAAAGTATGCAAATTATAATCAAAGAGGGTAGGGGCGTTGCGAGGTTATGTAACTTGTGTTACAAATCTTTACCCAAACAATCGATCTCATCTAAAAGGAAGTCGAGATCACGTGTCGTTATGACCGGGTTAGACATGGCAACCCGGAAAAAGTTTGGCAGCTCCCCTAGCGGCTGATATTGTATTAACATCGTTCCCGATTCCATCATTTGAGCTTTTATCATTGGTGCAATCTGCAAAGAAAATCATACATATGTTTTGGGTTTGACATAAAGTGCGAGCGTAGCATCAGAAATGTACCTCTCAAAATGGGAAAGCCGTTGTAGTTGACGCTAGCTACGATTGTTGCGGATCGTCCATATATAGTCTGTTAATTTTATTTTGAATTCAGGGGGGGGGGGGGGGCTCGAATGGTTAACACGTGCGCGCTGTATCGCAAGACCTGTCATTGAGTCAACTGGCGTGGTTTCGAATCCCCGGTTTTACGTGACAAGGAGTAGGGTCGCCTGTCCAACCTCGTGGGTTTTCTTCGGGTCCTCCGATTTCCTCCCACTGCTAAAGACCGCTACGCGCAAGCGAATTATAGAAATAAAATTGAACCATGTGTTAGCCCCGAAATGACCTAGTTTGTGTCGAGTGGACGTTAAACCCCATTTCTCTCTCTCTCTCTTTCCCTCTCTCTCTCTCCCTCTCTCTCTCTCTCTCACTCTCCCTCTCTCTCTCTCTCTCTCCCTCTCTCTCTCTCTCTCTCTCTCTCCCTCTCTCACTCTCTCCCTCTCTCTCTCTCTCTCTCTCTCTCTTTATTTTGAATTCAAAGAACGTATTTCTGTTTTCCCGTGTGTTTTCCTCTTGACAGTGGTCCAGGACGGAGGGTCTGACAAGAAACAGTCTCTAGTTATTCGGATGGAACGTAAATCAGAGAACCGTTTACAAATCAAAATAAGAGTAATTCGAAATAAGAGTAGGCGGCAGTTCGAGCAAAATTTTCTTCATAGCACACTGCGTGGCGTATACCCGTCTTCATTACCCCAGTCGGTGCAGAAATGAAGTGAAATGAAATGGGGGTTTAACGTCCTACTGTTCTGCTCCTAAACTGGTCTAATGAAGACGGGCATACGCCATACAGTGTGCTATGAGGGAAATTTTGCCCGGTCAGCGGCGCTACGGCCTACTCTTATATCGAATTCCAACTGCCAAGGGATAATTTACGTGCACGCCAATATGTACACGGGACCTCGTTTTTTCGTCCCATCCGAACGACTAGACAGCTGTCCTTGTCAGGCCCTCCGTCCTGCATCACTGACAAGGGGAAAGCACGCCGGAAAATCTGGATGAACTTTCTCGGCCAATGCACGGATCGAACACCCGACCTCCAGGCTAGCGAGCCAGCGTCTTACCCACTTAGCCACGTGATCCCCCAGTCGGTGCAGTAAAGTATAACCCCCATTTCATATCCAATATTTAATTGTATATATGTTTACCTTATTCAGTTGTTTGTGTTCAATTTGAGCGAATGGTAGAGATCGCCATTTTAAAGGTATATACCAAAAACATACATTTGGTGCTTCTATCTGTAAATAGATAAAGTGGTCTACATATTAACCAAGAGTAGCGGAGTAATTTTGTTACTGCTCTAATAGAAAGCAATGCAGATTTTATTTATATTAACACTAGTCGCAATCATCTTTAAAAATAAAATGCACTGATTGATTTCGTAGGTACCACGAAAGATCCTTTCCGAAACGAAGGCGTAGAAAACGCAGAAATTGTTAATCCTAAGTTCTCACTGTTGTACGATGCGTTGAGATGGGGTTGTCCCTATTGGGTCCACGGTCTGGTACGTTAAGATACGTTTGGTTACGTTTGGATACGATAAACACAATTGCTACGACTTAAATATGTGATAAAACCTGATAGGACCACCACGATTAATCCACAATTAAAGCCACGAATTCAATCCAGAGGCCTATCGTGAAAGTGGAAACCAAGCATGTACGAAATCCTGGGGTCTACCCAAAGTACCTATGCACGCAATCGAAAGTGTGTAAAAGGGTCCCTAGTGGTTAGAATGAGAGAATGAGTAAACGGTAATACCGCTGCCTATCCAAAATTCCCCTGTATTACTCAAGAAACAATAATATACTAGTTTCGTTTTCTTACCTCTTCTATAACTAAATGGAATCCATCTCTGGTCCTGACCTTCTCTAGCATGTACCTTAAAATAAAGACTCTACATGTATAGACCGTTACTTTTTCGCCAATTTTCACAAAACTAAATTCTCTATTGGCAAACTATAATAATAATATAAAAAAAAACTTGATTTAATGAGGCAACTTATTTAGTTTGTAAGAACTAATCTTCCATAAATCCCTCCTAAAGACATATATACATGTAACACGTCGCACCGGTGTGTGTGGATGGAGGCGATGGTAGTGGTAGTGGGGTGTGCACTTTATTCGAGTGGCGTGGTTTTGTCCATTCGACACAAACTAGGTCATTTCGGGACTAACATATGGTTCAATTTTATTTGGATAATTCGCTTGCGCGTAGGGGTCTTTAGTAGTGGGAGGAAACCAGAGGATCGAAGAAAACCCACGAGATTGGACAGGCGATTCTACTCCTTGGCACGCACAACCGGGGAATCGAAACCACGCCAGCTGACTCAATGACAAGATATCTGAAACTCGAGTAAATTATTGATACATATTTTGTTTCGAAAACTTATAGGTATCTCAAATGTCCGCATCTCAGTCAATTTTCAAGCTACAGACCACAACTTGTACACAGTTTCTAGTTTTTTCATGTACAAAATAATCTTTTGACCAATTATATATATCTCCGTGTGTTAGAGATTAATGATACCACCGAAGACGATTTGATTCTTAATATTAGACCTCACATGCATTGTATCGATGCTTTGGAACTAATATGTTATTAATAATTGTTAAAACAAACCCTCCCCCGCCCCCAAAAGTATTCATTTACAGGCGTTTGTCTTATGGCGTCTTGTCCAATTTGAGTGGTAACCTGTTATACTATATTATATAATACTTACTTGGATAAGTCAAAATTTTTATTCAGTTGATCTTCAAACCCTGCATCGCCCTGGAAATTAGAAATAGTATTTTACAGCAACTTCCAGTATGAACAAAAAGAAATTGGTGCTCTATGATAAACTATTCATAAACATTTACTAAAGGCCCGAAACATATAAAAGACAATTGTTTTAGTGACAAACACGCACTTCGAAAAACAAAAAAAAACCCAAAGAATATTGGTCATAGACATAGTTGCTATCATAGTCAATATGAAAAGAAAACCAGTAACGTTAGCTATGCCCCTTTCTTCTTTTTGTCGAAAAACCAGTTGTTTTCCCTCTATAGGCTGGCTGGGGCTTAACTGTGCAATAACTCTACATGCTCGTTGTTACTGCACACTTTTGCTGGTTTACGCCAGATTAAGTGTAGGATAAAGCACAAGACTGAGGTTATGCTGGGGAAAGGAAAAAAGAAAAAACAACGAGGCCTGGTAGGTTTTTTGTTTCGGGGAATCGAAACCAAGCCATTTGACTCCATGACAGACCTTATGATACAGCGCACGCGCTAACCATTCCGCCATCCAACCACCTTGAGAAAAATAAACGAGACAGGTGGAATCAACAATTGTCCGTAGTAAAAATGTGGATTAACATCCAATTCCGCCTAGTGTAGAATCACAGACAAACTATCCTATTGACGACTTTTTACACAAAATGCATACTTACTTTAGCTCTCCACATTAACCATAGTTTAAATACATCATTATGTCGTCCACATTGTATCGTCTTATCGCCAGTGTCATACGATGTATCGTAGTTTTTATCTTTTTGAAATAAATAATTAGCATTCATCTGGTTGGCTTCTTCTAAAACACCCTGCAATCAAATAAAACAATGAAAGTCATTCAGTGCATCGATAAAATTCAAATAAAATCGATTGTACCAACAATCTGATTAAAATACAGATCTATATTTCGTTTCGTTTTTTATACTTTCGATGGCCTACACTACCTTAAGATCTGACAAGTTATAGTGGGAGTTCACCTCAGGGGTCAAACCTATCACATCAGACATTGATTAATCAATCAGCGTTGACGTTTCTATGAATTTACCCACAGTTTCGTGCAGAGTACGTCAAGAAATCTCCGTAACATACCGTTTCATTGGATAATTTTTCTCTTAGATCGAATTTCAACAGCAAAGGGGTATATTACGTGCACGCCAATTTATACATGGGACCTCGGTTTTACGTACCATCCGAACGACTAGACAGCTCTCCTTGTCAGGCCCACCGCCCTTCACCACAGACAAGGGGAAACCACGCCGGAAAATTTCGATGAACTTTCTCGGCCAACGCCGGGAGCGACCCACGACATAGAATTGGGATGATCTTTGTGTTATGTCGAATAGTACTGATGGGACAAGCTTTGTGGATGATTAAATTTGTGTTTTGAAGGATTCAGCGGAAGTTGTCTTGCTATAATAGTTCAAAATTTAAAAAAATGAAAAATGAATATATTGAAAATTAAAGTCAAATTTCTTTCTGTGGGAAGTTATGATTGTTTGAAGTTTTGTCAAAATGTAGTGTAGATTGTTTATGAACTATTATATGCGGTCGCAGTGTTCTAGTCTAATTAAAATCGGAGCATCCCGATGACCCGGAAAGGTGATTATGATTATACTTGAAAAATAATTTTTATAAATTTTAAACCAGAAAAAAGACATGGCCATGTGTTCATGAAGCATTCCCAGGCTTAAGTTAAGAATTTACTCAAAATTGTTCTACTTATTTGAACTAAAATATGTTTTATTGTATCAAATACATCATTAAGAAACTATGTGTTTCTGGACCAAAGATATTTCTTATCAACAGTGATTGAAAGTTGGGTAAATTCTTAACTTAAGTCTAAGAATGCTTCGTGAACTCGAGCCGGTATGGACCAAGACTAGTAATTATTTCCCCTTATTTCATACGAATGTAGTGCGAGTTATTAATAGACAATTTTTCCCTTAATTTTTCCCCCCTCTTCCTGCATTTTTGGGTTGACCTTTTGGTCTAGAATAGGAGAAAAGGGATCAAATTTGCAATTTTATAGCAGTTTTGGGTAATATTGGTGATATTACAGCGGAGGGATAGGTGTGTAAAATGTCTTTCTGCGGAGCAATTATTGTATCGGAAGTGAGATTTTCACCCCAGTCAACTTCAAATCCCCGTAGCAAAATATCTAAACGGTCACCCCCAACAAATTTATGCTGAGGAGATTGCCAAATGTGGGTCCCCATTGTGCCTATAGAGATTGGAACCAACGGAATGTTGAGCAAAAAGCTACAGCCTGTGATGTTACACCCATTTAACATTGATGTCAATGGGCAAATAATTACTAGTCTGAGTCCATATAATTCATGTTTAATATACTTACTTTATGCTTTGTTAAGATAGCTGAACACTGTAAGGGTACGCCCATCATTTTATGGGGATTCCACGTCATAGAATCGGCCCTAACAGAAATATTAGAACATAAACATAATTAACAAGAAACATAATTTCGATCTAAAAGATAAGTATTAAATCCTAGCACACCAACTAACATAAACAAATGAAATGGGGTTTAACGTCCTACTGCTCTGCTCCGAATCGGCTAATGAACACAGGCATACGCAATACAGTGTGCTATGAGGAAAATTTTGCCCGGACAGCGTCCCTACGACCTACTGTTATATCGAATTCCAACTGCCAGGGGTTGTTTTACGTGCTTGCCAATATGTACACAGGACCTCGGTTTTTCGTACGATCCGAACGACTATACGTTGTCCCCCACTGACAAGGAGGAACCACGCCGGAAAATCTGTATGAAATTTCTCGGATAATGCAGGGATCGAACACCCGACCTCCAGGTTTAGCGTGCCAACGTCTTCCTCAATGAGCCACCGTGGCTCCCCCCCCCCCCACAAATCCTTATCGACATTATGCAAAAGAATAATCAATCACATCATTTCAAAATGTGAATCTTGTCTATATAAAAAAAGGAATGGTGGTGCTATTGATATAAGAGCAACATAGTTCGTGTATCAAAGGTGCCATGAAAACGTTGGGTTATGATAGGAGTGGAGCCTGTCAACACAATATTTAAAAGGTTATTTTCACCCATGGCCACGTGTGCAATTCTAGGGAATTGAATTTTATTCGGAAAGCGGTTTGTATACGAATGATTTAGCAACACTTGCTTTGTTCGCCGTATAGCCTCTACCCGTCACAAATTGGCATAGTACTTGTTGCCCTTGAACATATTAGCCGAGAGTCAAGTGCACTTACCAATATCTGTCTGATATTTATTTCTAATTTTGGACACGATCATGAACAGGGGCATTATCATTTTAGTTATTTGTTTGACTAAGGGGTTGGATGGCCGAATGGTTAGCGCGTGTGCGTTGTATCATAAGGTCTGTCATTAAGTCAATTGGAGTGGTTTTGATCCCCCGGTTGTACGTGACAAGGAGTGGGGTCGCCTGTCCAACCTCGTGGGTTTTCTCCCGGACCTCGGGTTTCCTCCTACTGTCAAAGATCCCTACGCGCAAGCACATTATTGAAATAAAACTGAACCATGTGTTAAGGCCCGAAATGCCCTAGTTTGTGTGTCTCTCTCTCGTTATTGGACTAAGCTTACCTTTCTACTCCATGTAAAAGATGTCTGTGGTCTCTTGATAGTAAACTCGAACCTCCCCAGGCTCCCTGGATTAAATTTTAATTCAATTAATATAGGTTAGTAACAAAACAAATACACTTTATTATATCAAATAATACGACCTCCCTGACACGAATTTGTTCGGGTAAATTCGCATCATTTACCAGATAATGTGTTGCGATGCGGGACGGCAGCGGGAACTATGTGTTTTGTGGGTGACACTGCAGTACACTGCGGGACAATGCGTTACGACAGACATGAACAATGCGCAAACAACACTTAACCTATGCGTAAACAAGTATAGTGCCATTGCGTATCAATGTGTACCAATGCGGTCCATGTTGTGCTGCGCATTTCATAGACAATGCGTAACTTATGTGTGTACAGTGCGCAAACATGGCTTCCACGCGTTGCTGCGTACCACAGCGCATCGCGCAGTATTGCGGTGACAAGAATCATGCATAAAGCGATAGACCATGCTGCCACGAAAGGCTGTTTTCCTGCATTCAACATTTGGATTTCTTCAGAATGACCATACAGCATTAATTAACCTCTCCCTGTTTCTGGGAGTTAGCGAAAAATAATACCATTTAATTTTATATTCATATTTAATGCATAAAACTTACATCTACATGAAACCAGATATCATATTTTTCACAAATTTCACCAATTTTTTCCAGTGGATCGTAAACACCAAGCACAGTGGTACCTGCCATGCCGTTAACTAGTAGTGGTATTTTACCCGACTGTTTAGCTGCCAATATTTTATCTTCCAGATCTTTAATTAACATCTTCCCTCTAATACAAATAATTACGTTACAATAATTAAGCTACAAAAACTAATCTGATATTGCTTTTATGAAAAATGCCCAGTTCATAAACGTATATGTCCATGCACGCCACTGTGTGAAGTGGTTCCCTAACTAAGCTCGTTTGTAGAATTTAAGTGATATCCCTGAAGCAACGGGCCGAGGAATCCCTTTCTCGAACTAACCAAACGAAATACTGCGACGAGCTTAATTTAAAGGGGTATAGAGGTCTTACCTGAAAGGTACCATAATAATTATCAATTTGAATATACAGTTACAATCGGCATGTCCAAGCTAGAGACAAAGCCACTTAGCCAATCATTGTTCTAGTCCTGGGTATGTATTTTTTACCCATGGTGACCCGGTCGATTACCCTTTGGAACTAAACAGTAAAAGAAGCTACCGAAAATTTATTTCGTTTCATGATTTAATGTTTTTTTAACACAAGGGAGGAATTAATGAACATAATGTTATTGGATTTAGTACTATGGAAACTGTTTCATTGGCTGGGGTATTGAGACTTATAGCCCAGCAGATAGCGGCTCAAATACAAGGTAAACGTTAGTAGATAGACGTATCGAAATTGACACAAATATACCGTGGGGACTATTCTTTTTAAAAAGCTTATTAGCCGCTAGAAAATTCAAGACGGTTGCCATTTTCAAGGCAACGAGACAAAGTCACACTAAATTGTAATATTTTATTGTCCGTAACATATATGTTAAGTTTCATTTAAATCGAACCTAAGATTGTGGGTTCTAGAGGGTTCACAGAATTTGCACACAATTTACATTTTGCTTAAAAGGCAAGGGCAAAAACCCAAAAACTTGCGATCTGATGTAACCAGAACAGCGAGTCCTTGTTTTTTTGTCCAGTGTTAACAAGGGAGATCCGATGATCGTGTTTTTCTGGGCTAGTCGGGGTATTGACATTCCTTAATCCTGTTGGTCACCTATTGGTCAATACTGCCAGGATTAGTGGACAGTGTGCTCAATCAATAGAAGGGTTAATCAACCACTTGACCAGCTTTAAATAAAGACCCGATCCACAAAGAATCATTAACATGGAGTATTTACCTTTGGTCACAGTCAATATAGATGACGTTGTTAGATCCTATTCCCAAGATAACCGCAGCTCGCTTGATTGAATAATGACTCTAGAAAGACAGAAGGTTGTACATCAGTAGAAATTATTTGATGTGTCATCAGAGGCGAAATGTGTAGACATAGTTCTTTAATCCATATATGGATTTATTCTGATAAGGACGTCCACGTATAGTATATACATTAAAGAGAATATGAAATGGAATAATGTTGAAAAAACATCCTGGTTTAGGATCCGTTTTAAATTTTAAAGACCTAACGCTATTGTTCGCGATATCATTTGTTAAAATGCAACCTTGCAGAGAACAGACCTATTCAGACCAGACAAATGGTTTTGTTTTTTGTTATTCACAAAGTTTACAAGAAAGGGTATAAAAGAATCGCTAACACAACACTCTCAACGCCTATTCTTTAATGGCAATATGTTTTATGGTTATTAAGTATAAATAACTTATGCGTGATACAATCTTAGATATATTTCTTCTGATCTATTGTCCATGTTCCTTTTATCTTAAATCAACAACCTTTTGAAAAATAAAAGTTGAATATCCGATTATTGCAATCAATAAAATGATCGGGATAGAACAAGTGGTGTGATCATTAGCTTTATAGAACGGACTAAAATAACTGGTTTTAGTTGAAACTGTGCAATTTGGTACGGAACTGATAACGACACTCATCCACCATACTAGTTATTTTTGATAAGATATTGAGTGATAAAATGTATACTAATGTTAGGGTTTCACCTAGGAATATCTTATAAACAAAACGTAATGACCTAATAAATTCATTCAGCGCAATAGTAGAAACCGTTTGTACACTGGACCGGTGATTAGGTCCCACAAATTAAAACGTTTGCCTTCTCCAATTCCTTCAGGATACAAACTTTAAACAAAAGTACTTAGTTGCTCCTATAAAAAGCTTATGAGGTTAACGTCCACTCGACACAAACTAGGTCACTTAGAAAGTAAAGTATGGTTCATTTTTATTTCATTAATTCACTTGCGCGTAGGGGTCTTTAGCAGTGGGAGGAAACCGGAGGGATTCGGAGAAAACCCACTAGGTTGGACAGGCCACAGTTTAAGCGAATAAAATGACGGGCAGGGGAAAACGCCATCGTCTGGGAAATTCCCCCATATCATAACAAAACATTGCACACAAGAATTTAGTGAATGTTAACACAGTATAGGGAGAAGTTCTGTGTCACTGGATTTTAAAGATTTATTAGGCGACGTTTCGATCAATCAATAACAACAAATCACAAACCATTTTAAGGAACTTGAGCCAACAGAAAATGGATGATAATGTTCTTGAAGTATCTATTGTATAGTTTTAGTTTCATTTGGAAATTAATATTTAGTAATCTACCACTTAAAATTGGTAGTATCTTGTCGATATGTACTAACAATCTGTTTGGCATACATCCAGGGGAGTGTTCCGAGCGCCCATCGGCCAAGATTAGGAAACAAATTATTTGACAACTATTTTTTTTATCAAAAATAAAAATAAAAAAAATTATCTTCGCACCCACTGAAAACAACTAATGACCTATATCCTATGTTAAAAATGATCTATGAATGGGGTGCAGAAAAAGCAAATCGAGCTAGTTTCGTTTTCTTCGGCGCTATCGGTGCCGAATCCCTGGTTGCACGTGACAAGGAGTAGGGTCGCCTGTCCAACCTCGTGGGTTTTCTCCAGGTCCTCCGGTTTCCCCCCACTGCTAAAGGCCCCTACGCGCAAGCGAATTAATGAAATAAAATTAAACCATATGTTCGTCCCGAAATGACCTAGTTTGTGTCCAGTGGACGTTAAATCCCATTTTTCTCTCTCTCTCTCTCTCTCTCTCTCTTTTCGCAATCGGTGCCCAAGGAAACCAGTGGGTCCGAGGTCACAAAGCTACCCAGTCAGCCGCTAATAATAATAATAATTTGTAAAATTTGTAATGCACTTAATAATCCACCCATATTCGCATGTACAAGGCGCAACATTTAAAGAATCTCTCGTCAATAAAAACGCACATAAACAATATGTTTCTAATCTAAATAATAAACTTTATTATAAACAAATGAGTTTTGTGAAAATATGAAATTCTCTAATGTTTACTGGTAACTGATTACAAAGGTGAGGTGCAACAGCACACAACATAAGGTAATGGATCCAATGTAATGCGTGTTAGTTGTTTTTTTTTTAAATTACAGTCTGCATATTTGTTGTCTGGTCGTGATGAATCTCGTATATTACCTGTTTAGATGTAAAGATAACGGCCTCACCACAACCATTCATACCATTGAGTTTAGCCTGAGGAAGATGTCGCTGTCGTGCTAATAATACAGCGTAAAGGTTAGAAACTGCACCACCTAAAATAACAATACAACATATGGGTAGAAAATCGCAACTCCTAAAAGGTGGAAAACCACTATACAGCAACGAGGTTAGAAAAGGCATCACCTCGCACAATAATACAGCATAGGGGTTAGACTTGAAATGACACAATCTAAAACAACAATACAGAATACAGATGGAAAACCACTATACAGCAAAGGGGTTAGAAACGGCATCACCTCGTACAATAATACAGCATACAGAATATATGTCACAATCTAAAAAAAACATACAACATGCGGGTGCGAGAATGCACCCCCCCCCCCTCCCCAAAATAACAAGACAGCCAATCTGATTAAATTAGAGATCTAAATTTTGTTTCGTTTTTTTTATACTTTCGATAGCCTCAACTACATGAAGATCTGACCAGTTGTCAAACGGGTGGCTTTTGGCCCTCTGACGTCAGACTTATGATTTACTAATCAGCGTTGATGTTTCTACTGGGATACCCACAGTTCCGTGCACCGCACGCCAAAAACTCGCCATAACAGACCTTTGCATTGGCTAATTCGTCACATCAACCAGAACGCTAGTGGTCTAGAGTGCCTCGCTTCGACCTCTAGCTGGTCGGTAACCTCTGGCTTGCGGTTGTGGTTTCGAGCGTATGTGGCTTAGAGACAGGGTCAACCTCGTGGGTTTACTCCGGGTACTCCGGTTTCCTCCCAAAGGATAGGCCCCTACATGTGCACTATGACAATAAAAATGAAATATAAAACTTGTCTGCGATATCACCTTCGGTGGATGCGGACGTTAAACACTAAGAAGAACAACAACAACAATAAAGCAATGTCAACTGTGTCCTTCGGGCTGTAACCACGATAACAAAAACACATGTTAATTTTGTAGCACGGTTTGGTAATATCAGACAGGGGAAGGCTTCACTTAACTAGAATCAATACCAGATGGGAGATTTATTGAAATCGGTTTCGATTAATCCATATACATTAGACAAAATAGATTTCTTACACTTTATTACAGAATCTGTCTTATCCAGTTTAAAAGTCCAATTTATAGCAAACATCTTCACTGTCCCCACCCACACACATACAAATTTAATTCTTATGGAAAGACAGTTAGACAGTTTAGATTTAATTTCTTTTTAATTGTCTAATATTGTTATGTGTGTTATACATAGCCTCGATCGCTCCAGCCCAACATGCCTTTTGTCTACATAGAAATTGGCGTCCAGGCTGTTTTTTCATGTCCTGTATACAGTCTTGATCGCTGCCACCCCGGGTGTCTGGCTGTTCGCGTATACGGTGTTCACTGGGCTCAATCCATTCGCAAACGCAATTTGAGGACCAAATCTCCGTATGACCTTTGACACGTATAAACAATTGTCGCTATTTAGTCCAGACCAATATTTGTTTATACTAGTAGCGTAGACAATTTAGGCTAAATCGACCGAGATTATCTGATATAATGTAGGTATTAAAGATACATTATTTAAGATTTAGATAAAGAGCTAGCCATTTTTGCTATAATAGTTCGAAAATAGATAATGTAAAATGAACAATTTGAAAATTTCATTCAAATTACTCTATTGCGAGCGAAGATATTCGCCTTTGATGGTTTGACAAGACGTGTGCAATAATTACAACCACCGTACTGGTTGTTCGAAGCTAAGTCTCGCTCCTCCATTTTTAGCTTAAATCAAAATATGGCTGAACTGTTCTAATCTATTTAATATAGGAGAAATCCTATGCCATCGAGAGTTGATTATGGCCTGGATAAGTTAATATAATGTCTAATTAATAATTTAGAAAATATTTCAGGCCTAAAGAAAGACCTGCAATAGGCAGATTTAGTTCTTGCATAATGTATATTTAAGAGTATATAAAGCTAAACAAAGTGAACAAATCTATTTTATATAGTTCATAACATGAATGAGTGCACTGGCGATATACCTGTTCAAATATCCAAAATATGTATTACACTAAAACGCTCAATCGAAACGTTTAAAAAAAACTGCCCCTTTACCTGGCGCGAAAATTCCGTCACCATTTTCCCAACCAATCAGATTCATCATTCGTTTTAATATCACCTCTTCCATCAGCGTAAATACTGGAGCCACTTCGTATGTGAACCTGTAACATGGATAGTGCTAAATGATAAGGCCAGCTCAATTTTTCGTCATATGTCAGTAGATGTAAACAGGGCTAGCGCGAATCCCATCCCTAACCCTAAACCTGGACCTAGCCCCAATGCTTACTCTAACCCTAATCTACAATCTCGCCAACAATCACATGCCCTAACCTTATTTACATCTAAAAGATCTTGACAACAATTGAGCTGGCCTTAACAAATAGATTTAGCTCTGTAACATGGATAAGACGGAACGTACAGTTAGATTAAAAGGCAAATAGAGGGATTTAGATCACAAGCAGTGAAACAAACTCTTTTTAGACAAACCGGTTTTTGACACATTTGACCAATTACCCCCAAATTGGGCTCCGCACTAGAAAGGAGCCCCCAGCTCACCAACTTAAAAATTTTCCAGGCTATCTGGATTACAGGTATTAAACGATTACTAATTGTGACGTAAAGCATAGTTGGCCTTAAATATAAATAAATATCGACCTAGTTAGAGTTATAATTCATATCCTGCAATGTATTCATATCCTGTATGTAACGCAAATTGAGACACACATTTTCTCTATCTGCATGAAAATACACATTTAAACAACATTTAAATACTATCTACCACCTGTCGCACTTTACCCTCGAACTAACAATAAATTGTTTATTGAAATTTTCCATTAAACGGAAACGTTCTGGTAGCTGTCAAATATTCTATCAAAATACAATGTGTTAATATATATGACAATTTAAGGTCTACCGTGTAATTAGCAACATGTTTTAACATCATATCTTTCTTCATGAGATGACAATAAATTGTTTATTGAATAAAACAGAAACATAATGTTTTTGGTATTTTGTAGCTGTAAAATAATATATGAATTATTTTTTTTATATAGCTTATTTCTACTGATGATTAAAGTAATCAAGTTATGTCGAATTTTGCAACACGTTTTAACATCCTATTTTTCCCTTCACTTTTAACCATGGTTGTTTCAGGGATCCCGAAACTATTTAATATATATTCTTCCGAAATTTAGAATCCCCTTTTAGTCATAAATTTACGTTGTTTTTTTTTTTATAGATTTCGGCTTCCAGTCGCATTCCCTTGCCAGACCCCCTGTCTTGAACTATTGACAAAGACTGAAAAATCACGAAAACCCGAGAACGCCTTGCGTTGATCAGTCAGTCCAGGAAATCTGAACTCCTAATGGCGATAGATCGACCGATTTTTCTCAAATTTTGCACAATAAGGGTATATGAATATCTTGAATGTGACTGAATATTGAGCTTAATGTAAATATGTGCTTCATTACCGACTGCTAATGACGTTTAAAGATGTAAAAATATTATCTGGTGTTCCGAGAGGAAAACGTTCAATGTTATATTATAGTAATCGAACTGAACTATACTGTTATAGTATACAAAATCGCCATTCCTTACTACGCATTTGATATGATATTGGCCACCGGAACATCATAGGAAAGGTTATTTTTCATTAAAATTTAGAACTGGATACCCGTTGCCTCATAGGAAAGGTTATTTTTCACTAAGATTTAGAACTGGATAATCATTGCGTGATGAAGTCTACTACGAGCGTGGAATATTTCAAATACACCCACCTCTAAAAGCCCCATTTGGATGATTATTTTTCTGAGAATTATAAAATACAATTTCGTTAATATCAAAGCTTTATTGGGAAATACTAATTCCCATCCAGATCTCATCAAATTTTAAAACATGTAGGAGAACTTGATCAGGGAATTGAAGATGTGTGTCACGATCAATAGAGGTTATGTTCTTAAAGCAAGGCTTGTCATCACTAAAGCAGGAATTGTTGACTTTGTTTTAGGTTCCATAGATCAGTATATCTATTCTTATCGTGATGACCAACATCAAATATCAATAACATGAATGAATTTAAATCTTCGTTGATCGATACGGTTATACCAAGATAAATATACAGTTTTTTTACTTTATTTGTACAACAATCTGATAAAAACACATGTCCTATTTCGATTCTCTTTTATTATGGTTCGAAATTTTATTTTACTTGGATGAACTACACCAGGTGAAGGGCATCTACATGAAAAAAAACCCCAGCGAAACGAAATATATATCTGTATTTTAATCATATTGTTCGTACAACGAGAAAAGGGGGTGGTTTCATTCTGATAGCGTTTCCATCTATTCGTCTTACAATTCTAATATACAGGTCACAATTCTAAGGAATACAATTACTACTTATTACTGAGCGACGTTTCGACTAGGCTTCTCTAGTCATTATTATTAAGCAATGATAAAATTTATCTTACTTTCTTAATGCCATGCAGGGATGCCGGTATAGTGCTCAAGGGCCCAAGGGGTATATCTGGTTGGTCAGCATGAACTAAGTATGGTTGTGTACATGTCTATATTGTCTTGTTATATTTTCATATTTTATCACTGCTTAATAATGACTAGAGAAGCCTGGTAGAAACGTCGCTCAGTAATAAAAAGTAAGTGTATTCCATAAAAATTGTGACCTGTATACACCAGTTCAATTACTAAATGGCATTGAAGGAATTTACAATTCAAAGAGTCTGGGGATCTTTAACGTACATTAGCAATTTGCAGACTTACATGTTGGTGTTAGAGACTGCTGTTAACCATTCACCAGCCACACCGATGATATCTATTCCAGTTGATAATTGATTAAAGAACCTGGGGTGACCTGCATAATAAATTACAGGAAGAAGTTGAAGATTTATAAATGAATAATGAGAGAGACAGAGAGAGAGAGAGAGAGAGAGACAGAGAGAGAGAGGGGGTGGGGGTTAATGACCACTCGACACAAATTAGGTCATTTCGGGACTAAAACATCCTTCAATTTTATTTCAGTAATTCGCTTGCGCGTAAGGGACTTTAGAAGTGTTGGGAAGCGGAGGTCCCGGAGAAAACCCACGAGGTTAGACAGGCGACCCTACTCCTCGTCATGTACAACCGGGGAATCGAAACCACACCAGTTGCTCATTGACAGACCTTATGATACAACGCGGACGAGCTAACCATTCGACAATACAGGAAGATTGATAAATGAATAATTCTTGCGTGCCGATGCCTACTAAATACTCTACGAGGGTGGAATAGCTCGATGGGTGTCGTTTTTCTTCACTGCTTTAATGTGAATGACTAACATATCGACTATCTACTGGAAGAACGTAATTAAAAAGAAAAATGTGAAATGAAATGGGGTTTAACGTCCTACTGTCCTGCTCCGAACTGGGCTAATAAAGACGGGCATACGCCATACAGTGTGCTATGAGGGAAATTTTGCCCGGCCAGCGGCACTGCGTCTTTTATTGAATTCCAACTGTCAAGGGATCTTTTACGTGCATTCCAATGTGTACACGGGACCTCGTTTTTTTGTCCCATCCGAACGTCTAGACAAGAAAAACGTTATCAATGTAATGTATATCATGCATGAGTAGATATGCTTACTTTACACAACAATTATTTCCCAACTGTTCATGCTATCCCCATCCCCGTATTTAGTTCCGCCATTAGAAGTACAATTTTACTAAAATACTTCAGAGTATTCAACTTTCCAGACTAAGACTTCTCAAATTAAAGACGGATATATCAAACATATTTTTTTTTCTAATTGCTAATTGAAAATTCTAAAATGTCATTAAATAGATGTTGTGTATACAAATCGTTACTTCTGTCAACGACTTGATTATCTCGATTGCCTATTGCATTACAAAGAGCCAATGTCATAATTCAGAAAACGAACTGGACTGAACAACCCACTGGGGTATGGGGTTTATCATTGTGTAAACATTTTACCCCGTTAAGTAGTTCTGCCGGAAAGCCATTCCAACAAATTTTATTGATATTCTTTACATTGTTTCGAAGAAAAATCGAAATCTTAAAAAAAGTATTGGCGAGTGCTGAGAAAAATATTTTTTTCTGGTAAAAAATTTTCACAAAAGAATATTGCTTTGATTAAATACAGGATGCAACCTACCCGTCCTCACGCAGTACTTCAGCGTTTCTTTACAGTCACTGAGAATCTGTTCCAGGTCTCTGGGATTTTCATCAATGTCCAGACAATGGTCCATCATTTCACGTAGTTGATGAGGATGGTGAAAATCTAAAACTTTAGATGCTCTGTCGTTTTCTTTAGTAATATAGTCGGTTAATATGTGGGATATCTCTATCAGGAATCTGTGTAGTTTTTCAGAGTTCTTTGATTCTAGCAGTTCTTTAGAAACAAAATAATTAAGAAAATGAATTTTGGCTAGATGCCAGAACATCACATCGGTGACAGTCATAAATATGACACTGGTGAGAGTATCAAGAATATAAGTGCAGGCAAAAAGGGTTATGTCCGGTTCCCACTATCACTATTCGTGCTTCGATTGAAATCGTGGTTTTAATCCTGGAGTAATCGTGGTGATCATATCAGTTCTTATCATAGCAATTCTTTAGAAACAAAATAAATTAAGAAAATGAACTTTGGCTTTGTGCGAGAACATGACATCGGCGACAGTCATACATATGACACCGGTTAGAGTATTAAAAATATAAGTGCAGCCAACAAGGGTTATGCCAGGTTGACACTATCTCGATACGTGCTACGAATGAAATTGTGGTTTTAATGCTGGAGTAATCGTGGTGATTCTATCATGTCTTATAATATTGAAGTCAGTCGTAGCAATCGTGTTGACCGTAACGAAACGTATCCGAACGTACTTGCACGTAGCAGATCGTGGACTCAATAGTGACAATTCTATCGTAACGCATCGCACGACAGTGGGAACCTAGCACAAGGAATAACTGATAGAACAAAAATGGTCAACATCTTCTGTTCTTGGTATGCTAAGTCATTACAAGTTATATATATTTTAGTGAACTACGACAGTTCGTCGAATGAACCTCTTAATACATATTTCTGGAATAATAAGGTCGATGACCTGCCCATTACTCCGCCACAACCCCAATACATAATTATGGGTTAATAATTTTGACAAATTGAGTGTCCCTTTATTTGTTTTGGATATCACCTCTCCCCCCCCCCATTTTTTACCCCATGATTATGGGAGGTGATGATGTTGACGATTGAATATATTTCCTGAGCAAACTCCTAATCTATTCCATGTGTAATACTTTCGACGATGGAACCGATCAATATCTAATCCTGTGATAATAATGTCGACGATTGAACCGATCAATATCTAGTCCTGGGGTAATAATGTCGACGATTGAACCGATCAATATCTAATCCTGTAATAATAATGTCGACGATTGAACCGATCAATATCTAGTCCTGGTATAATGTCGACGATTGAACCGATCAATATCTAATCCTGGGGTAATAATGTCGACGATTGAACCGATCAATATCTAATCCTGTGGTAATAATGTCGACGATTGAACCGATCAATGTCTAGTCCTGGGGTAATAATGTCGACGATTGAACCGAGCAATGTCTAGTCCTGCAGTAATAATGTCATCGAATGAACCGATCAGTATCTAGTCTTGGGGGTAATAATGTCGACGATTGAACCGATCAATTTCTAATTCTGTGATAATAATGTCGACGATTGAACCGATCAATATCTAGTCTAGGGGTAAAAATGTTGACGATTGAACCGATCAATGTCTAGTCCTAGGGTAATAAGGTTGACGTTTGAACCGATCAATGTTTAGTCCTTGGGTAATAGTCATCGATTGAACCGATTAATGTCTAATCTCGGTGTAATACGGTCGACGGTTAATTTTCTAATATCTATCGATTTTTTGAGAGATGGACGATGGTGGGGGGGGGGCAGATAACATGTGCATATAAGACCCGTTATATGTATACATTTAGAAATAATTACATAATTCACAATAGTAAATAACGTATTTTACATTTCATATACGGGCCACGCCCATGTCATTTTCTGTTTTTCGGTGTCTTAATAAATAAATATTTGACCACTTGAACCACTTGAAAGATGTTTTGTTTAAAATTTGTAAACTTAAAAAAATGTGGCACTAAAAGCTTTCGAGCAGTGTAACAAAGTACCGGTACTCTTACTTTTAAGTAAGTCTTAGTTTTAAGTAAGTCTTAGTTTTAAGTAAGTCTTAGTTTTAAGTAAGTCTTTTTCCCGATGAAATTAGAAGAATACAGATGTTCTAGAAGAAATAACTGAAATGAATAGAAATGGGGTTTAACGTCCTACTGTTCTGCTCCGACTGGGCTAATGAAGACGGACATATGCCATACAGTGTGCTATGAGGGAAATTTCGCCCGGGTAGCGGCACTATGGCCTCCTCTCATATCGAATTCCAACTGCCAAGGGATCTTTTACGTGCACGCCAATGTATACACGGGAGCTCGATTTTTCGTCACATCCGAACGACTAGACAGCTGTTCTTGCAAACCACATTATTGTGTGGCCTAACCGAATGAACCAACAAATATATTATTTACGTTAAACTGACGATTATCAAATACATAATTCCAAACGGGAATCGTTGTGTCATAAACTGCGGAGATGATTTCAATGTTTGTGCTCGTCTGTATCTGCGCGATAGTCTCAGTTCGAAATCAACCCTTTCATGAAAAAAAAAAAAAATAAATAATAAATTTCATCTTACCACGCGAAAACGACCCTTCAAATTCACTCCAATCCGGACTCTTACAATAAAACATGTTTCTCCGTTCTCGAGCTGTTGATACATCCGATGATTTCTCTGGCAACTGGCTTTCCAGATCCCGTGGTTCTTGAACGTTTCTCGTTTTCTTCAATTTTTGGAACATTCCACAATCAAATGCCATGTTAGAATAACCGATGGACGGCAGCTGCTGAATAAAATTTAAAAATGTGACTAAAAAATAAATTCTAAATACAAAATGGAATATCTGACGATATGCCTTTATGTCATTGATTCTCAACCAGTGTGCCGCGAGGTCTTCTTAAGTCTGCCGCGAAATTTTGAACGGCACACTAAGAAAATGCGAAAAACCACGTGATCCCAATTGAGTATTCATTGATATCTACTGTAAAGTTCATGGCTGTGTTGTTCTTCATTTAGTTTGTCATTCTATGTGTCTATGACTAATCTGTGTCTGTGGTTGTATGCCGTCTATGATTTATCATGTTTTATTTTGCAAAATTTAAATATTTTTTATATATATTTAGCCAGGCGTGCCGCTATTTTTCCATGTGTTCTAAGGTTGATAACCACTGCTTTAAACATGCATTATGCAAGAGCTAAATCTTCCTATTGCAGGTCTTTCTTTAGGCCAGAAATCTTATCTAAATTATTAATTAGACATTAATTAACTTATCCAGACCATAATCAACTCTCGATGTCAAGGCTTGCCTTCGATATCGACTGGATTAGAATCCTATATGCTGCAGACGCTCATTGATAATTAAATCAAAACAATGGATAATCGAGACTATGCTTTTTAACGTACTAACTTTAGTAATGATGAACGCGGCTAGGCGGAATTTACAAAGCTGATATCTCGGTTCATAGTGGACCAATTTGACTGAAACTTTCAACAAATTACCTTTACATTATTTAGTTTTTAACTATTATAGCGAGAACTGTCAGCTCTTTATCTAATCTCCCATAATGTATCTTTAAGTATTGCAGTTTCCAACGGTGTTCGCGTGTGATTTCTCATCTGAGACAGTGGTTTGGTATAAAATCAGGCAGAAAATATGTACCGGGAATGAATCTTGCTTCTCACATTTTGATATTTGATTTGTCTCTCTCCATTGCTGCCTTTTCAAGGTATCTTGTAAGTACACGTCAGTCTCCCAGGTGTCACAGTGCTTTTGGTCTGTGGTGTGTATTACCATTCTACCTGTTTGCAAATAAAGCTGCTGAAAGATTGTATACACACACCCCGTTCAGACATTCATTCTGGGTGATTTATTGAGACTTAAACTGTGTATTGTTCTGTGCGACATTAGTTTCAAAGAATTGTGCATCTTACGGTAGAATTCATATTATTTTTAATTTGTTTATCAAAGTCGGTATTTTATAATGTTATGATCCCTGTCCTTTTCTTAGATTAATTTATTTACGGTCAAGGTCGTATAGTTAACGAAGTCGCCATTGTTTGTTTTCTTGAAAACGTAAAACGTATCTTCTTTTTGCCCTGTAGTTCCTCACAAGATGTTAGTAAGCTTTTAATGATTATATGTTTTCTGGTCAAGATTTATGTATAGTTATTTTAATGTTTATTCTCTGCATAAATTAATGGTTGTGTTGGGGATCACGTGGCCTGGATGTCGGGTGTTCGATCCCTGCATTGGCCGAGAAAGTTCATCAAGATTTTCCGTCGTGGTTTCCCCTTGTCAGTGATGCCGGACGGAGGGCCTGACAAGGACAACTGTCTAGTCCTTCGGATGAGACGAAAAACCGAGGTGCCGTGTATATATTGGAATGCACGTAAAAGATCCCCTGGCAGTTGGAATTCGATACAAGAGTAGGCGATAGTGCCGCTGCCCGGGCAAAATTTCCCTCATAACACACTGTATGGCGTATGCCCGTCTTCATTAGCCCAGTATAGGAGCAGAACAGCGGGACGTTAAACCCCATTTCATTTCATTTCATTTAATGGTTGTGTTGTATCGATAAATGGCACTCGTATCGCCTATGTCTTAGTGCACATGGTTTTCCTGCAAGTGCAAAGGATAATACACTTAAATGCACAACTCTAACCTATAATACTCGAGTATGTTTATTTGTAAGGATGTTCAGATATTAGAATGTTAAACTCATGTTATTATTTTTTCTTGTAGAGAAACCATCAAACGCAGTCATCATCACATAATAGGGTGACCCGTGCACCCAAAATTTTCCGTACAGAAAGTTGGTCTCGACACGGCGAATGTACACGCTTCAGTGGTTTGTCTGGAAGTGATTTCTCGCTTACTACGCAGTATGATAATACTCAGCCGTAGAGTCTATGATGCTATAAAAAGCCATCTCACGTGCAATTCTCTACACAACTATCAACTATTACAGTCGTAAAAAAAGCTAATTGGTTATTACAGCAGCTTTAGAAATTAAGTTCTTAAAACAATTGTTGAGTTGCCCAACGTGTGTGTTTCTAAATATAATTTCTTGTTCCAGCTTTCTGCTATGTTTCCTAAAAAAGTAATCTTGATTATCCCGGTCTGTCAAGCAAACGTAGAATGGTCGGCAGACTGGTTAAGCGAGACTACTTTCAAAACACGGGCACGTAACCTATTTTTTACTCACATGTACTCCGATGCTATGGCCGACACTCGTAACCATCTTTCAGTGTATTATTTATGGATGATTAAATGGTCATAGCTTATTAAGTACAGCATGACCGTTTATTTAGTCACTATCAATGTTTGAAACTGATTTAAGGCTTAGTGTGTATATGGATATTGTAGTGTAATTGTCGAGATATTTGGAGATATTTATTTATGGTGGGGCACCCTACACATAATAATATGATCATAAAAACGTAATTATCAAAACGAAAATTCTTGAAATACAACGTAACGTCATCGCCATCATGATTATATCATCATAAACACCATCATCTACGTTAACATGACTATTTGTACTACTCTACTGTAATTTGAAGATTTGTGTTTATCTGTTAATGGACGATTTAATATTAACAACGAACGATTTATATTAACGATAATTGCTTAACGATTAGTGCATTGTATTAACACATCATATTAACGTATTGTATTAAGGTTTTGTATAAACGTAACGTATTGTATTAACGATTGACGTGTATTCTATGAGAGGAACTTAGTAATAAAAGTTAAAGATACATTATGGGAGATTAGATAAAGAGCTGACAGTTCTTGCTATAATAGTTAAAAACTAGATAATGTAAAGGTAATTTGTTGAAAATTTCAGTCAAATTGGTCCACTATGAACCGAGATATCAGCTTTGTAAATTTCCGCCTAGCCTCGTTCATCATTACTAAAGTTAGTACGCTAAAAAGCCTAGTCTCGATTATCCATTGTTTTGATTTAATTATCAATGAGCGTTTGCAGCATATAGGATTCTAATCCAGTCGATATCGAAGGCTAGCCTTGACATCGAGAGTTGATTATGGTCTGGATAAGTTAATTAATGTCTAATTAATAATTTAGATAAGATTTCAGGCCTAAAGAAAGACCTGCGATAGGCAGATTTAGCTCTTGCATAATGCATGTTTAACGAATATGTGACAAAGTCTTCTTTTCTTAAATTGAATCACACCGGCAATTTAATACAGGGAAACGGTGGCAACAGGGCAGGTATTTGATTGCTTAACTGCTATTTCAATGAAATCGTTTATACTGACGGCAAACGAGAACGCCGCCGAAATTTTGTTCGCGCGGAAAACAGCAGATATTTTCTCCACATCGAAATTTTGGGTACAGTTTGTGCGAACGATTTTCACTAGCCAGTTAGAGTGGGAGGACAAAGGTCAGACATGTGTCGTATCTGTAGCTGGACATAGTCAGATCATAAATGCACCACTTTCATCTGCGAATTTCCATGCGTATCGTCGCTTCGAGGTGTTGCAGATCGCGGGTGCTAATAGCCCCGTCAGACCGGGGTGGCGTCCTTACTGTGCTGCTACGGCGACGAAAAATGGTCTCAGATCGCGTTAAGATCGCCATAAGCGTGGTGAAAGAGTGGTGGAAACGCCAGATATCGTGCGGAGCCCCCCATGCTCAAACAAACGCCAGGGTTCTGTGAGAACGCTGCTTTGTTTCAAGTTTGTCATTTTTTGGGTCATTTTCTCGAGTTGTGTTCACTTTTACCGGCGACCTTGTCCATTTTCTGGTCGCCGCAGCGTAGTAAGGACGCCATACTGGTCTGACGGGGCATTAAAAGTCCGTTTATACTAAGCGCGACCGCGACCACTAAAGTGGCGATCGCATCCATAGGCGTACTGGTTCTATGACTGTTAGGGGGGCACAACCCGTGATGGTCGAAAATATTTCGGGTAAAGACCCCCCCCCCCCCCCAGAAACTTTAGACAAATTGACGACCGCAAACGCGTTTTCCTGCTTACCCGAATCCCAATCAATCGCATGGGAGCCTCGCCGTCCTGGAGAAAATTTTGAAAATGTAATCGCCGCAAATGTGTTTTTCTGTTCTTCTAGCCCGTCCAATAGATTTGTAACCGAAGTCCCACTCAAGGCCGACCTGAATTCCAACCCTCCAATCAGATTGTTGCAGCTACAATTACATAATAATCGATGCCCGAAAATGTCGCTCCAGACAAAATGTAATAAGCCATAGTTAATTCAGTACAAATTCGTGGTATTCAATTAAAAGAAAAGTAAAATTGGTGTTTTATTAGATTTGGGCCACTTGATTTTGTCACTAATTTTTATTTTCACTTTACTCGTCTGCCCGAAAAGCCAGATTGACTCAAAGTTTGGTTTTTTGGGGGGTTTTTTTTGGGGGGGGGGGGGCTGCCCCCCTGGAAGATTGCTTAACTAATATTTCAATGACGTCGTTTATTACTGAATAGTATTGACGAATAACAATAAGAATATGTCTTCAAAAATAACTGTATGCTATCAAATTATGTACATTTGCAAGTATTTTGTTCGACTCACCAACTGCATTATATCCCAATAGTACAGCTGTCGGTACTATTGTGTATATATATATGTAATCAAAAGTACCCTAAACAAAATAAAGCATAGTTGTTTGAAAACTGAAAACCATCTCAACCATTTCTTAAAGGCTCAATATATATACCACTCTTGTTGTAACTTGAATAATATGCCCCAATCTTTATTCTGGTTAACAAATTGCACTATTTTACAATATTCCAATTTCAT